ACAAAATATTACCAGGAAGTTATTATCATAAAGGAATTTAAAATCACTGAAAAAAATGGAGGCGTTTGAAAAATAAATACACTCAAATAAATACATTTCAATTACCGATGGATTCCAATTTAAGGGGGGAACTGTTGCATTAACCTGGTGGTAGAGACCACAGCGTAAATATGAACGCGTAAGGAACGTCTTTTACTTAATCACATTAAAAATATGGCATCACCCTTATTGCGAACGTTCCTGGTTCAGTCAACTTAACTCGCAGCCAACTTAACTTTCTTTTTGCATTTTTGCAACAACTCGACCGGTCAATTCTTAAGCAAACTTGACAGCAAGCAATTAATAGTAGCTCTCAGGAAACAAATAAAATTTTCCAAAATTCCGTTTGAAACGGAACAAGACATTTTAATAGTTAAAACTACAAACCTTGCAAAAAATTATGTTGTGGCATCGATCTATTTTCCACCATCAACTCCCTTTGTTATATTCGTTGAGGAAATGACCAAACTTGCTTCCTTTTTGGAAAGATTTGACAACGTAATTCTATGCGGTGATTTTAATGCCAGAAATACATGCTGGGGTGATCATGTCACATCCAGAAAAGGCAAGGAACTTGAAATTATCATGCTGGAATCTGGTTTTGTAAATTTAAACAATGGAGACCCTACCTTTGAAGGCAGAGGGACCTCCCAGGGATCTGTACTCGACTTAACATTTGTTTCAAATGGAATTGCTGCAAGCTGGTGTACCCTTGAAGGTCATTGGGGTGGCAGCCACCATATACCCATAAGCATTCAGATAAACAACTCTAACATACGTAATAATTGCTTTCTGCACAAAAAGAAATTACTCGGTCAGCTGAGCAATTTGGAACTTGAACCTGATTTTGACCAGATTACAGATGGGATAAGTGATGAAATCAAGGCAGCGACTACATCTCTAAAACATGGCAGAACACCTAAGTACTGGTGGGATGATAACCTTTCAACCCTGTACCGTCGACAACTTGCAGCGATCAAGAAAGCCAAAAGATATCCAACGTATAATAACCTTGAACAGGCTAGAATAGAAGTTGAGAGATGGAAAAAGTCCGTCAACAAAGCTAAAAGCGATAATTTTCATAACAAAATAGATACAATAAATAAAAATGGCAACACGCGTGAAGGGTGGAAATTCATCAATAATGTTCGGAACCGAACGAAGGCAGATACCGCAGTTTGGAACAATGATAATGACATGCCGTACTTAAGATTACTAAAGGAACAAGTTCCGGATGAAGAGTCAAATGATATATCTCAATCCAATCCACACTCAATTTCTCAACTTACTGAAAACAATCCACATATTACCTTCGATTTTGATCATTTTGAAGAAATTTTGAAAAACAAAAACAAAGGTTCTGCGGCTGGGCATGACAGAATAACTTACGACATGATAAAAGCACTTCCGGGAATATCAAAAAGAGCTGTACTTACAGCAATGAACAACGCCTTTCTTAATAACTCAATTCGAGATAGCTGGAGGATCATCAAAATCGTACCAATTCCCAAACCAAACAAGGACCGGGAAATCATTGCAAATTATAGACCGATTTCTTTAATTTCAGTCTTTGTTAAGTGCATTAATCTAATGCTTAAAGATATGATAATACAACATTTGGAAAACAACAATGCCTTCCCTAGTCGCACATTTGCTTACAGAAGCGGAATGTCAACTTCAACATGCCTGAATGAATTTTTACACAGAGTCGCCCTGCTGAAAACGAACAACTACAAAGTTTTAGTTCTTTCACTGGACATAAACAATGCGTACAACTGCGTTAAAATTAACACTTTAGCCAATATATTGAATAAATATGGTCTCAACCAACAAATTTCCAACTGGATCATCAACTTCTTTTCTAAAAGGTTTCTCAAACTTGGCAATAATCAAGTTACTGTCACAAACGGTATCCCACAGGGCAGCTGTCTGTCTCCACTTCTTTTTAATCTGTATACTGCCTCTTTACATCAATTGGAAGACAATAACAGCCGAATCTTTCAATATGCAGATGATTTTCTAATTATGGTTTATCATAATGACTTTGATCAAGCCTTGCAACTCCTACAAAGAAAGGCAAACAACTTTTCTAGAGCACTTTCAGAACTCAATCTGTCATTTAATCCGGAAAAATCAAACACTATTTACTTTGCCAAAAACAGCATAAAACAGATCACACTTAACATCAATGATATTTCCATACGACAGGAAAAAAAACTGAAGTTTCTGGGAAGAATTATCTCCAATTCTTTGTCTGTATCTGAACACTACACATTTATAGAAAGTGCAGTTATAAACAGGACTAATCTGTTGAGATGCCTTACCTCAATCAAAGGAGGCCTACATCCAAAAGTAGCCCTGAATGTGTATAGAAGCATTGTCAGATCCAAAATTGAGTACTCAAGAACAACAACTGCCAATTCTCCACAATACATTAACAAAAAGGTTGAACGTCTGCAAAATGAAATGATTAAAAGATCCCTGGGAGTGCCTAAATCCTCACCTAATCATGTAATATATACGCTTGCTGGGGAACTACCACCTGCACACAGAGCTCAGTTTTTAACAGCAAAAGAGATCATTAAAGTGAGACTACAAAATCCAGAATTATATGATATCATCGCTGACAACCCATTGGTCAAATCCAGCTACAGCAAAGTTTTTCATGATCATGCAGAAATTTTTGAACGGATTAAAACGGTAGCATATTCCCGACAAAACTCGCTGCATGTCAGAACCAACTTACTACCTTCCAAAAAAGATATCACCGGTAATGAAATATTACAAGCCATTTATAACAAGGAGATTGCTCACTACAAAATGCATGACTTTGAATTATTTGCGACCGATGCGTCGGTCAAAAACAATGCCACCGGCTGTGGAATCTACAACATCTCCAAAAAGCAAAGATTTCTTTTCAAGATTGATTTTAAAACCTCATCCACCTTTGGCGAGCTTTTTGCCCTTAAAAAGGCTCTACAGATTGCTGTGGAAGACAGAAAAGACAAATGTGTCCTATTTACAGACAGTCTTGCGGCCTGCAAGGCTTTGGCCACTGATAACTCGGACAACTTTTTGGTTGGAGAATTCCACAACATTCTACGTGATTCAAATATTCAACGTTGTCATGTTATTTGGACCCCTGGTCACCGTGGTATCTCTTTTAATGAAGAGGTGGATTACCTTGCAAAACAAGCGGCTGAATTTGGTGCCCCCGTTAACTCTGAGCTCTCGACTAATGAGGCTCTAATGATGATCAAACATAAAATTGTCAATAACTGGAACGACGATTTTTCTCAAATCTCAACGACCAAGGGAAAAAATTTTTTCCAAATCTGTGGAAATGTTTTTACACGCCCTTGGTACCTCAATCTAAACCTATCCTCGAAAGATACAAAATTAATAAATAGGTTGATGGTTGGTCAACCTTATGATAAGGTTTTTTTACATCGCATTGGAGCAGTAGATAATGATATCTGCGAAACGTGTGGCAGTCGGGAAGATGCCCAACATTGTATTTTTGAATGTCTGAGGTTCGTAAACATAAGACCCAATTTTCCTAGCCTCTTCTCACTTCACCATAAACTGACAACCCTCCTCCAAACACAAAACACCAATCTCTATATACAACTCCTTGATTTTATTAAGGAAGCTAATCTAAATCTGTGATTTCTTTTCCTGTGATACAATCTGTGATATTTTTTTTTATTAAAATAATATTAAACAAATACTAACTTGAAATCTCGCTCCCCCTCCCCCATTTTTCCTGAATTTTTCTACTCCACAGCGCTCTATTCCTTGCTTTGGATAAGCCACCTGCATCTATTGGACATATCACCTTTTTATATACACCTTTTGGTGTTATCGTTTTAATCACCCTAATTGACACACACACACAAAATTGTTATCACTCTCAACCAGATGTTCGCTTGTCCAATCACAAGATACGCTCTATTTTTTGCTTTGGATAAGTCACCTGCATCTATTGGACATATCAAAACTCTAGTGCAGTTTTGATCATCACAATATAAACACACTGGATTTGTCTTTACATACACCTTTTGGTGTTATCGTTTTAACTACGCAAATTGATACACACACCCATCGTTGTTACCACTCTCAACCAGAAGTTCGAGTCTAATCACAAGATATTAACTGCAAAACAACAACTAAAACCACCTTGTGAATATAACCTGGCGTTTTGATTCCTAGAAATCGCCATCTTTGCCCTTCAACAAGGGTTTCGTTTCAAAGTTCAAAAAAAAAAAAAAAAATTAATAGTACAATTGCAAGTACAAAATTTTACAGGTCTTGGGCTATTCTGCTTGGGTCGTGTTGATATGGAGACATATAACCCCAGCCTTCCTACAGGGTACTTAGTGGAATCCCAGTATTTAGTCTTCTTAAAGATTTGCCGTGAACAGTTAAGGTGCTTGTAATTCTACACTTCGTGACAACTGGGCGAAATTTCTCTCAGACACATCGATCAGAAAGGGCGACATTCCCCAAACATTAGTCGTTTTGCTTATGGGAGGAAAACATGATACCCTTTACCCATCTAGAGGTATCCACGACGACACAAAAATTAAAATAGTTTCTGGTTTTCAAATCTCCTTACAAATTACTGACTATATCAATCATACCATATTTAAGTAGTAGGGTGCTCAAGAAGGCCATCACAGTGATATCTCTTCGAGTGAACAACTGTTCTATATGTGAGATGACTATGATGCAATTAGCATTTTTTTTTTTGCATCCGTTTGACCCTCAATTTGAGATAACAAGGTTTTGAAAATATGTATTATAAAAAAAAAATTAATAAATAAAACAAATAAATTCTATTCCCATAGAATTTTGGTATAAAAGCTGCTAAATTATTTGTTAAAAATTTAGTTTAGATTAGACAATTGAAGGAAATTATTCCACCAAAGAAATCGGGAAAAAGTGAACTGGTGCAAAATATGAAATTTGGCATACTGCTACTATTGGTTGTGGCCTCTCTAGCTGTGGTGAGGTCCAGCGAGGATCACAAGGCTCTTAATGAGAAACAACATAGTGTTTTAATCAAGTCTTTGGATAAGGACTACAGACCCTGTGCCGATTTCTACAGATATGCCTGTTATAAGTGGTCCGATCAACACAAAGACAATGGCGACAACTATACTACTGTCCCTGAAATGATGAACTATGACGTCAATATGGAGGTGATTGAATATTTGGAAAAGACACCCGAAACGGATATGCCTGGATTTGTAAAACTCGTTAAGGATTTCTATGTGTCCTGCACAGAAAGTCCCGAATTTAAGCCCTTGGATTTTATGCATTGGATGGAAAAAGAAGAACACATTAAATGGGCCCTGTTCACACCCGATGCCGCTGAGGACTTTGTCTTCGATTGGACCAAAATTTTGGCCACATTCCGCAAATATGGTTTCAATAATATGTTCATCACGGAATCGAGACATTATCAAGAGGGCAGTCATTTCATTACATATTTAAAAAAGCCCGTGTACAATGATGGTTTTAATTTTGTTTTCAATTACGAGATTGATGAGTACAATGAAACCATACCTCTGCCCAGTGGAACAATGGGTTTCCACGATTTATGGAAATATATTGATCCATTTGAGGATAAATTGCGTGATATCAAAGTTGAAGAACAGGAGAAACCAAAAATGTTTAAATACCATGAACTCCCATATCCCTGGATGCAAAGCTACCTCAAGTATTTAATGGAACCCGAAGTTATTGATCCCAATATGGAAGTAGGTATTTACAATATGGCCTACATGGAAGCCCTGGATAAGTTGCTAAAGGAGTATGATGCCAAAGTTCTGGCTCGTTACATGGAAATTCGTTTCCTTCAAGATGCTGACAAGTTTAACAAACGTTCTACGAAAAATGAATGTATGACCACCACAAAAAGTCTATTGCCCATGGCCATGGAATGGATCTATGAACAAATGCATCCTGAGGTTGTGAAGGAGATGCCAAAAATTGAACAAATGTTTGAAAATATTTTGAAGAATGTCAATAAATCCCTGCACATGGATGTAAGTGAATATATACCCAAAGAATTCTTTGGCAAATTGGTGACCATGCACATGAAAGTGGGCATGATACCTCAGGAAAATGCCAAGGATTTATTGGAATCTTACTATGCGGATGTAAAACTTGATGCCCACGAATATTATCGAAATTTTGTAAAAATGTTGGAATTCTATTATAAACTGGAACACACCCACTTCGATTACAAGAATTTCGCCGAGGATAAGGGATTCTTCTTTAAAACCCCAAGCTATAATTTCGAATCATCAATCCGTTCCATTTATGTTCCTTCGATGAATTTGATGATATTGCCCTTCGGTCTGTTCCGACCACCCGTTTATCACGAGGAATTTGAGGATATTTTCAAACAAAGTTCATTGGCCACCATCATGGGTATGGGCATGTTTGATGCCTTCCTTTCAACGAAGGACTTCCCCAATGAAGATGTAAAAAAACTTGCGGGTGTAATTGGTCTGCATGCAGCATTTGAGGTCTTCTTCTCATCGCTACAATCCGAAGAGATTACCCGATATCTAACAATGTTTGGCTTCACTTCGCTACATGAACTCAAACAAATGTTCTTCCTTAACGCAATTCATTACAAGTGTGAATGGTATTCTGGTGATGCTGATATTGTTAATTTTGCCACAAGCAATTTGTCCGATTTTACTGAAGCCTATGATTGTAAATTGAATAACTTTATGAGAATGTTTTAGGGAATTTGTAATGCATTTTGTTTGCATCGAAATAAACGAAAATTTAAATTGAAAAAAAGAAATAATTTGAAGCACGATTTTATGATTTTTTTGGAAAAAAGGATATGCAAAAAAAAAATCATACAAAGAAGGTGAAGACTGGATGATAACAAGGAATGACTAGAAATGAAATAAATATTGGTTTTTAGGGAAAAATGAAATCAAATCGTTTTTCCACAAAATATGCCGCGACTACTTAATTTTCTGTAGGAGAAGCCCTATCTCCAGTCGTTTTCTAATTTCCCATGCCAAATAATCAACAAAGTAAGTCTTCTTCTGGCATAGGTCCCCCTCCATATAATGGTACCTCCCGATAGTCGGTATTTTGATGAATTCAGCAACATTATTCGCCGGAATCGTTTCAAATTTCGTATTGAAAGATCTTAATGGCTACTATAAGAGATGGCAAAAAATTTCGTATGCAGGTCCACGTTAGCGACATTATTTATCGGAATTATTTCAAATTTCGTTCGTTCCCCATATAAAGGTTTTCATTTAAGTGGTAGTTTTCGGATTTTTTTTTTGAAATTTTCAAGTTCCTTCCAAATGGTGGAGGGTATTAAAAGTTTGGACCGGACGAACTTAGCCGCTTTTGTACTTGTTTTTCTTATAACTTCCAAAAATCTAAATTTACAAAAAAATTTTTTTTTCGACATTTTATTAGTAAATTATGTAAGTAATTTAAAAAACAAATAAAAACTTAACATTTTAATTCATTTAAAGTAAAAACAATAAAAAAATATATTAAAAGAGATCATATTTCAATACCAAAGCCAAACTCGTACACTTCGTATAATTGAAAGTATTTCTAGACATTAATATTTTGTATGCAAAACTTTCCTTTTTTTTACTATTTGTAGCCTATTTGGCATACTTTTAACAAGTCTGTCGCAAAAGCTAGGTTCATTTTTTTGCCATTCTTCCAAAAAAGCCTTCTTCAAATCTTCTTTGCAAGATATGTTATGCTGGCGGATTTTTTCATCGAGATATCTCCATAAATTCTCTATGGGGTTTGTGTCTGGGCTCTGGGTTGGTGTATCCATGACGTGGGGACAATTATATAGCTGGCATGACCGCACTTTATAAGCCTTGTGTTTCGGATCATTGTATTAATAAAAATAATAATCTTCGCCAAGGCCGTGTTTTTCCGTACAGAGTGGCAAACTTTCTTTCAAAATGTTAAGGTACATAGTCTGATCCATAATACCTTGAATGAAATGCAATACACCAGGTCCAGAGTCTGAAAATGAACCCCACACCATTACTGACCCACCACAGTGCTTCACTGTAGGTTTCATATTTTTTGGCAAGTAACGGTTCATTTGCTTTTCTCCAAACATAAAGTCTGTCATCTAAACCAAAAAGGTTGAATTTGCTCTCGTCCGTGAACAGCACATTCCTGCAAAATAAAAAATCTCTTGATATGTTCTCCTTGGCTCAATCTCAAACGTACTCCTTGATTTCACTTGCTGTTTAGAGGTTTATGTCTAGCTCTTCTTCCATTGTAATTCGACCTATGTAGTATATTACATTATACAGGGTGAGATAAAAAAAAACTGCAACAAAGTGGCGATAGATTCGCTATTTTTTTTTTGTTGACATCGGCTCAAACTTTTATTTCTGATAACAAAACATATTACTTCTCTGGTGACTATTTATTTATTTATTTATTTATTGTTATTTTTGAAGGTAAAAAAGTTAAGTTAATTAAAACTTATCTTCGAAAAAAATCCCTTAAAAAGCGGGAATTTTCGAGGGCAAATCTAAGTTTGGATTAGACATGGATGACCGCCTCAAATGAGATCTCTTTAAATGTCTAATCCAAACTAAGATTTGCCCTCGAAAATTCCCGCTTTTTAAGGGATTTTTTTCGAAGATAAGTTTTAATTAACTTAACTTTTTTACCTTTAAAAATAACGATAAATAAATAAATAGTCACCAGACAAGTAATATGTTTTGTTATCAGAAATCAAAGTTCAAGCCGATGTTAAAAAAAATAAATAAATAAAAAAAAAATTTAGCGCCACCCAGATGTTCAAATTAGTCTATTTAAAGCAATGCAATTAAGATGGCCTTCTGGGAAGAGTTACTAAAGGAATGGCTGGGAAAAATCTACAAGGCATATGCAAATTTTCATCGATGTTTTGAATACTATTTTACAAACCGAGCCCTGTCAAATCCATGCAAACTTTTCCATTGGCTATTGCACATTGAAATTATATGGATTTTTTGCGGTGAATACGGAAAAAGTGCTAAATTTCATAAAAATATATTTTTTTTTTTAAAGATATTTTTTATGGCACCTATTAAGTATACAAATTTCTTTTGTTCAGAGACTCATAATGGAATTTGATTTGGAACATTTCTTTCTTCGATACTTTCTCCAAAAAGCAAAGAATTAAAGGAGATTTTGAATAAAAGTGAAAACGCGATAAATAAATAGTCAACAACCTAATCTCATAGCATTTTGTTATAACAAATTTCGTATAAATTTTCCGCAAAAACTATTACCTATTAATATTCACGTCATTAAATTACAACAAAACGTGGAAATTTGTGATAAATTAGCTTTTTAGATATCTTCATGGGAAAATGTTCCAAAACTCATCAAAATACGGAATATCGGGAGGACTCATATATCTCATTTTCAATACCAACCATCCTAGACACAATACAAATTGTTCTGCTAAATTTTGACGCTCTACGTCAAATAATGTGAGCTGTATCGTGATTTCAACAGACAGACGGACATCGTTAAATCGACTTAGAATTTTATGCCGACTACGAATAATACACTTTATGGGGTTTACGACGAATATTTAGGAATGTTACAAATGGAATGACGAAGTTAGTATATCCTCCTTTCCAAGGTGGAGGGTATAAAAAATAACTAACTTAGGAACATGCCCAAGAGGGTATCCCAATTGCACTACTTTAAATCATTAGGTTTTTCCATTATTAGCCACACATGCAGTTCAGAATGGTTTGGCACCGGCATGAACTTCCGTTTTTGATAACAAATATTTACTTTTAGGCAGTGTCACAATTAAAAAAAAAATTGTCGAAATTCATCTTCCAAACTTGCTATAAAATCTGTGAATTCACACTTGCGAAGATTAGTTATGATTAGGTGTTTGAAAGAAATTTAATATCTTCGGAGGAAAACGTTAGTATGAAACTATTTTCGACGCTGCTGTTGGTGGTGGCCTCGCTGGCATTGGCGAGGACCGCTGAGGATGTGCCAATGGATCACAAGACGTTGAATGAAAAACAACTGAAAACATTAAGGAATTCTTTGGACACAAACTATCGACCCTGTGGCGATTTCTATTCATATGCATGTCATAATTGGTCTGATCAGCGCAAAGGAGCTGCATATAATTACAGTGGAGTTCCAGAACAATTGGGCTATGAGGTCAACCTGGAATTGATGGAGTATTTGGAGAAGACACCCGAAACGGATATGCCTAGATTTGTGAAACTGTTTAAGGATTTCTATGTGGCCTGTAGAGAGACTCCCGACTTTAAGCTTTTGGATTTTATGCATTGGATGGAGAAAGAAGAAAATATGAAATGGGCCCTACTCACACCCGACGATAGTACGGACTTCGTCTTCGATTGGGCAACAATTATGGGCACATTCCGGAAATATGGTTTCAATAATATTTTCCTAACAGAAACGAAACTTTTTTTCAATGTCAAAAGGTTTAAAATGTATTTGGAAATGCCCGACTATCTCATTTATAATTTAAAAGAAATGCAGATGGAGGAATACAACGAAACGATATCTCTGCCTAGTGGAACAATGACTTTCGAGGAGCTGTGGCAACTTATTGGTCCATTTGAAGAGGAACTACAAACGCTTGAAGTTAAGAAACAGGAAGGGAAGAAGGTATTAAAATTCCATGAACTTCCCTATCCTTGGATGCAGAATTATCTCAAGGCTATGGCGAGACCCAGGGTAATAAATCCAAATATGAAAATAACTATTGATATAGACTACATGGAAGCTCTGGATAATTTCCTGCAACAATACGATGCCAAATTCCTGGCTCGCTATGTGGAAATACGTTTCTTGCAAATTTCCCATAAACTCAAACTCAAAGGTTCCTCGGAACATGCTCATATGTTTCTGACAAGAAGTCAACTGCCCATGGCTGCTGAATGGATCTATGAACAGCTGCATCCCGAATTGCGAGACGAGATACCGAAAATTGAACAAATGTTTGAAAATGTGGTGAAGAATGTGTGGAATCCTATTATGCCGATTTGCAGTTGGATCCGAACAATTATTATCACAACTATTTGAAAATTTTGGAATTCAATTACAAACTGGAGCGCAGCTACATCGATTATGAGGACTTTGCCAAGGATAAGGAATTTTTCTACAAAACACCAGATTATGACTACAATTCTGAAGTCAAACCTGTGTATGTTGTGTCGTTGGACCTTTTGATTTTTCCCCTGGCCCTTTTCAGAGCACCCGTTTATGATGCACACTTTGAGGATATTTTCAAGCAAAGTTCATTGGCCACCCTGATGGGAGAGAGCATTTTTGATGCCATTACTACGAGTGATTATGAACTCATTGAACGAATATCGAAAACGATAAGTCTGCATGCCTCATATCAGGAATTTTTCTCATCCCTTTCACCCGAAGATATCACACGCTATCAACGGCTGTTCGGCTTCAGTTCACTGCAGGAACTCAAACGAATGTTCTTCCTAAACGCAATTCACTATACATGCAAAAGATATTCTCATTTAGCAAAGGAATCTGTTAATTATGCTGTTAGGCATTTGTCAGACTTTAACGAAGCCTATGATTGTAAATTATATAACTATTTGAAAATGTTTTGAAATTAATTGAGTTTTTTGACAAAATAAATGAGAAATTAAAAAAAATGGATTGAGAATCTTGTTTTACAAAAAGGAGCTCTTAAAACAAACATATTAAAAAG